GAACCATATTAATGATAAATTAAATCATTTAAATGCAAAAATAATGATTAAAAATCATTTTTAGGGGGACAACTGTGGAGAGGAGCCTGAAAATGACTCTGCAGCACCCCGGAGACGCAGGCTGCGAGCCCCCCCACAGAGCGCACCCAGAGGACAGGCTGCGTCACCTCACTTTGTAACCCAGGAAAGGAGCAGGAATCCTGGGTACATGAGTGTTAAAAGTGCATTAAACTGTTTTAATCCGACAGCCGCTGATGTGGACGGAAGTCTGTCCATTTCGTTAACATTTGACTCACGAAATGGACAAGAAGGTAAAAACAGCAGGGTTGCTGCTGTTAGGGCCTCAGACTCACAGGCACACACGCATGCAGAGATCCAGGGTGATGCACATGGCTTTTCTACCCGCAGCAGCAGGCAGAGCTCAGCAGCAGCAGCAGCAGCAGCAGCAGCAGCAGCAGCAGCAGCAGCAGCAGCAGCAGCAGCAGCCAGGACTCAGCTCCCTGTGAACTCTCATATGCCCGGACTCTTACCCAAGCTGTCACCCAGTTCCTCTGGGATCAGCCGCCATGCTCCCAGTTATTTTATTCTTCAACCTGTATTTCCTTCTCAAAGGTCCTTTGTTTACTGTACAAACCTGCTGCTACTTGTTCAAGTATAAAACCACGAACCTAGATGTGTAAACGCTGCGTATAATACCAACATAGAGACGAGCCATGCTGCTGCTTTGTAATTATTTTACAGCACGTGCACAGTATAATTGATTTGACCTTTAATGAAGGTTAGTGAAGGTCATTCTGAAAGCCGTTAGCATCATTCAGCCACGCCTGTACAACGAATCAACTCTCTTCTATCAGCTCTGTCCTAAGGTCGTATCTTTAGCAGAAAGCTATTACCACACGTTTAGAGGATTTGTGCTTTTTTTTTAATTAACAATCTTATCACGATTCTACATCGTGTCGCTTCCTACACAGCCTTGTTATCTGGAATGTTAGGTCACATTCTGAAGATATTCCAATGCTTTATTAAAGCTAAATCAATAACATGTGCTAGGTTTCCCCCCCAGTAGTCCTGCTCTGAATGCAGCTGGACCAAAACCTCCTGAAGATGCTGATGACGTGCAAACGGAGGAGTGATGAGTAATTAATGCCGTGACCCTGTTCTGCTGCAGGAGAGAGAGAGAGAGAGAGAGAGAGAGAGAGAGAGAGAGCAGCACTCCGACCAGCATCAACAGTCCTTGTGATGGACTGATGAAACATTGATGCTGATAATAAAAAGGTGGGACAGCGAGCAGGATGTAACTGAGAGAGACAGCAGCTTTAACTCACTTTAGATTTAGATTTGTGAGCCTTTATAACATTTCACCAACACCTGTAATTTATCTATTTATTTACTGAAACATCAAATAAACTTTGAGCATGGTACACCTGGAGTATTGCCATTTTTTATCGCTATCTCCGACTTTAATTTAATTTGTTTTTTTTTCTTTTTAATCTTTCAAATTGTATCAGTGTCCTTTGCTGTGAAGCGCTTCGAGATTTGTCTTGGCAGATGAGAAGCGCTATATAAATTAAATGTATTATTACGCATTTTTATAATTTACAATTTGTAAAATGCTTTTATTAACCAGTGTGGCAGTTTTTCAATTCTTTAGGACTTACATTTGTAGAAAATACAAAGAAATGGTGTGCAAATAAAACAGGCTGCAGTTTCCAAGGCTTTATTGCAAAGCATTGTATTTTAAAAAATAGTTTAAAATCCTACTTTTTGAAGAGGTGTCGGTCGAGAGCTCCATCAGAGGTCGTCTTCACGGTCTGTTTCAGCATCTCCATGCACTCTTTCAGCCGGGGGTCTCCTGTGCGTAGCCCTGTGGCTTTAAGAGCCTGCAGAGAGAGGGAGGTGTGAGGGTGGGGGGGACATCATGATTAAGACCCCAGACACCAAATCAATAAGTCTACAAGCCGTGAAGAGAGACTCCTGAAGAGCTAACAAGAGGAGTTACCCTGCTCATAAATCAAGGAGACAAGGAGGAATCACGTTTATCTACGAGCTATAAGTCTGAGCTGATATTTAAACAGAGATCCCACGTGATCATTCCCGCTCTGAGGACTCACTGTGGTGAATTTGTGCGCTGGGATTTTCTCCTGGCCCTCTGCGATGGTGTAGAAGAGCAGGTCCTCCAGACTAGGCAGGATGCCTGCCTTCCTTCTCCTGCGGGACAGAAGAAAATACAAACAGAAAAGTGAAAAAACAACTCGGAGGGAATATGTGGTGGAAACATGGAGGGGGAGCTGCAGCGGAGCGAGGAGAAGAAAAAGCTTTTTGACTGCAAGGAGAAGCAGAGTAATACTGCTGGAAAACATGGCCTTACTTCAGTATTATAACCTGTGGAAAAGACGTACACACGTGCTTTTCCACAGGTTAATATGCTGCCATAAGGCCACTGGAATGGAAACGGTTAATTGTGTATTTTGCTAGAATACCAGCCAGGAAAATGTTCAAAAAGGGAGAGTGGGCAGCAGCACAGAAGGACCGATAACACCGTCTGAGAAGGAGGCCGCCCTACAGACATCTATGCTGTGTGTGTGTGTGTGTGTGTGTGTGTGTGTGTGTGTGTGTGTGTGTGTGTGTGTGTGTGTGTGTGTGTGTGTGTGTGTGTGTGTGGGTCGCAGTGTCAGTAATTCAGCCAAGAACAATAATAATGTGTGAATTGTGGTGACGAGGTGATGGGAGCAGAAGGAGAAACGACCCCCCAGCCTCAAACTGAACCACAGTGCAGACTCAAATAAAGCCCCAAACTATGACATCACAAAGTCACGGCAAGGACTTCCAGTTCACACACTACACTGGGGCTGGGTAATACAGTCTGAACAATTTGATACTTGTGCTATCTTGGCTTAAGAAACATTTTGTATTTATATGGCAAACTTCTGAAGGCTTCAGTCTTAAAACATTTCCTGACATGCTTACGAGCCAGGCACTGATTTGCATTTATAATATAATGATATATTAAGGTTTCTGTACCACAGCGTGCAGAACAGCTGGTACATATGTTGAATCACTAAATGTGTCTTATCTCAGTTCTTTGTGCTGCTGCAGTCCTCTGATTTGCTGCTTTAATATCTTTTGTTCCCGATGGAGACCAATACATGATCTTAACAGTAAATGTTTCATCTTGTAGTATTATGGTCTGGCTGGTATTCTGAGCAGCACTTCCACACCGAGTCGTCTCTGGGAGAAAGTTAGTAGCATGTCAGGAGGCAGCAGGCTCACAGCAGGCTCTCTGCTGTGATTCATTTTCACTCCAGAACGGATTTGTGCAAAGCTCTGAATGCCCAAGCGCACCCTGACCTGCAATGCATTATGGGACACTGGCCTGTGTGCTAGGAGAGGATGTACCAAGGTAAAGGGATTCTGATAAAACAGCATTGGACAAACATTTGGTCATCATCAGTCAGCTGATTGCAGCTTGTTCTACATTTTTGTCAACAACAAATGCCATAAAAAAAACAGATACAAAACCAAACTAATAAGCAGGATCAGTTCAATGAATATGTTTTAAACCCACTTCAACACAATCTGAGTCAAACTATTTCCTGGCCCTGCTGCTGCAGAATAATACAGATTCAAACCTGGAGCAAGATGCCCTGTTATTAACAATTCCACTCAGAAAGTCGGAGAGTCAGAAATTCCCAGTGTGAAAATTGTAATTGCAGCCAATGCATGCTCCAGATGTACAGGGAGGAAACGAATATGGATTCAGAACGTTTGAATTTATATGACTCTGCACCTGGATGTGTTTTTTTGGTGTCATTAATTGTGGACGATTACAACTTTTTAAAGTTCTGAGAAGAGTAGGATATCTGAATTCCCGACTTGGGTGTGGAACGCTGCATGTTCACTGAGTTATTCTCATGCACTTCGCATAAGCATGTTGTTCCGTCCCTAAAAACGCTGAAACTTTTTCATAGCTAGTTCCATCCTCCTTAATAAAGGCTGCTGGTGAGGAAGGAATACACACCAGAGAGTGTGTGTGTGTGTTTTAGGGAGGGACGGAGGTGAGGTAGAGGGGAGGGAATACAAGCGCAGCCGCTGGGAGGAAGTGAGGTCATTTCAAAGTGAACACAGTTATTTGGCTTTCCGCAGAAAACCTCTACATCTACTGGGAAACAGAAAAAAACCACAACTAAAAACTAAAATAAAAAATAGAAACATACTTACAAATGCAAAGCAAGCAGATCAACAACAGGGAGAGAGTGAACAGAGGGAATAATACTGAATTAGTTACAGTGGAAACCACATTAGACCACAGTATGAACACATTATCAGCAGCAGACCATTACACTAGGTAAGTAATGGAGTTGTGAATATGGCATATCAAAATAACATGAATAGATCAATCAGAATAAGCACTTTGCATACTGGGGATGTTAAAGGGTACGCTTAGTTGTTTTAAAGTAGGGTTGTATGTTGTACTTATATTTGTAATGTATTACTGCAGTAAATTTGTAGATAGATGTGCATTGCTTAGCTTCTGTCTGTTTCTTTAAATCCACTGCAGAAATACATAGATTAGGAAAAAGTACGTCCGACAAACACACTTCAAAACATCCAAACTATCCCGGTATAGTACATTTTAAACACACATGACATGAAACAGTGTTGAAGTAACATTCTTGTTAAGTTAATGAGGCCTGTGAGGGAGTATCACCCCCCCCTCCAGGGGTCAGAGGTTGGAACATCTGGATCCTGCAGCATCGTCTCATTAATCCAGCCGCTCTCATTAGCGCCGTGTGTTTCTAAATGTCAGCTGTGGTACAACACACACAGCTCATACAGAAAGGTGGCATGAGATTGCTGCTGCTGCTCTGAAACGCTACACTGTCTCCACAACCGAGGAACTCGTCTGCATCAAATGTCATTAAATGCAGAGATGCAGGGGTGGGAATCAATATTTGTTAGTGTATGATTACCATGAAACCCAGCAGACAGATCAATTGTTCTGATGTTATTTTGAGACGTTGGGCACGGTGTCTATTATCCAATGAAGTTAGGAGTTTTAATGTAGTTAAATAAATATCACCACCAGCCACACACAGTCAGTCCTGTGTCTGTAGTTTGTGCTGAGTGTGTTTGACCCGAGTGCTCGCTCACAGATGTCATAATAAATTGCTGTGGAGGCAGACATTAAAGAGGGAGTTGTTGAGAGGCGGCGCTGCACAAATCCATCCGTGACTCATCTGCTCCTGCAGGCCCCGACAACTCCCGGGCAGCACGCCAGCATCCAGGCTTTGGTGCAAAAAAGCGCGGAAAAGCGACGTAGGCGGGATAATCTCCCCCTGCATTACAAACATTTTTAACCCCTTATTAACCAGAGCACAGCCTCCGGAGGACCCTCGTAATCACAGACTGGAGTCAGAGCTGCAAGCCGTCTGGAAGGCCTCAAACGCAACGCCTTGGATATTATATTTAAAGAGTTATTCTATATATAAGGACCTTGGATTATCTGTAGACTACTTTTTTTAATTAGTAGATTAGTACAGAGCCCCTGAGAGTTCCTACAAGAACAAGAAAAACGTGCACGCACAAGTAATAATCTTTTGACTCAAGATCAAATATATTTGACATTACAGTAGTTTATTTGTTGTCCCTTGATCACCAACCAAAATCCACATGATTTTTCAAACACTAATCTGTGCTGTGGATGTTTAACAGCGTCACTGAAACTGCTATGATCCTCCAGGGGAAAAGAGATGTGGCCGACAACCTTACTGACAGCTTAAGCAAATGGTCCGTGAATGGAAACAAATGGGACATCCAGGCTGCAGGAGCAATGAGGCATTTTATCACCAAGGAAAATGTCTGAAGGGTAGATACAGGCTGGTGGCACAGCTGCTTTGAACGCTAAAAGCAGGAATAACTTCATTTTTAGAGCAACATGGGGGAAAGTGACACATCTGAGAGACACAAACATCTCATAAAGACAACTGGCACGACTCAGCTGTTAATAATAATATACAGTACCACTAACACATATATATATCATTTGGTTACAGTTGTTTGAATGTGAGGATTTGCTGCTTTTCTTGTCTTGCATACAGGCATTTAAAGTACTTGCATATTACTATGTGTCAACGACTTGGACAGGATCAAATTATCACTATGTTGTTGCAGATTTTGTATTCCATTTTAATGCTTATTTTAGTCATATAGTATAAACTATTACGAAGTGGATCCTTGTCTTAATTGATGTCAGTGGCTGTTGAGTGGAAGTGTTAGTGTTGATATGGTGCTTTTCGGTCATTAAAAGCTTTTAACGTACAGCCCCCGGCCTATCACCACGAGGACTCTCCTCTTCTCCATCTGCACTCACTCATTTCCCTGTTGAACCAACACCTCTGTCAGTCAATTACAGCCTTATCAGCTCGACTCACAACACTGCAAATAATCACTGATACTGACGCTGTGATACTCATTTAATTCATTCAGAATGGTCTGTTGGCAGAATATTAGCTGGTGCATATTAGCTACTTGATTATGCATTTATGTAAAAGAAACCAGGAGACTGCATGTATTATAATATTGTGGAACACAGTAATAACTACAATTTTGAATGCAGGGCCCTAGATTGAAGGCATGATATAATAGAAGCAGGATGCTGTAATAGCAGTGGGATCAAAATAAGAACTGACTTTAGTGCCATGTGTGGGATATTATGGATTTAATTACATATGAGCAATACATCTATAATTACAAATAAATGGGGGTTGCCTTCCTGGTTTCAATGATGACTGACCTTCATCAGACATTGAATTGGGCCTTGGTCTGTCTGCATGGTGCATGCAGTTCAAATGATATATTTATCATATTTGTTGTAGTTATGTTGTCATGATCCTAGGCATGAGAAGCTGGTGGCAGGTTAATGCCTCAGTAAGTTTAACACGCTGGAGATGAAAGCTGCAGCTTCTGGTCACGATTTCTGGATGGCTGCACTGCACACCACCTGCTTCCACTTGACATTGTTACCGTAGAAACGTTTACTCGTATGCCTTTCTCCTACACGCACACGATAACATATGGTTTTGAATAATATTTTAATGATACAATCTAGCAACTGTGTCCGATAATGTGTCTTGCTTGCTGCTACATAGCAATCACGTCCCTGTACGCAGGGAGCTGTTCACTGGTGATTGCGTACAGAGAGCCTGTGTAGGTGAGCCTGGTATCCCCAGTCCCTTCTGGCTGTCTTTCCCCTCCATTACTATCCTTAAATCCAGCTAGCTGGCACTGTAGCCTTAGCTAAGCCGGCTAGTTTGTTATTCCAGCAGAACAGCATCTAGGCTAGCTATTGAACAGCTAGCCTCTGCGTGATGCGCTTGCCGAACTACGATGTAAATAACTGCTAATTAAAAAAAGGGCTTTGTAAACATAAAATATAGGGCAGAAATTAAAACATCGTATTAATAATGACATGTTAGCAGTCGTTCTTTAATTCGGCATATATTCGTTATGTTAACATGGACTTAATTCAATAAAATATGAACTTTAAGGATTGTCCCCAGGTGTCATACCACCATGGATATATTGGATACAGCGTCGGAGCCACTGTTCATTCCTACGAGGCGCATGAAGCCCAAAATGGAGCGACTTTAGAGTCAGAAAGTACCCGGATCATCCGGGGCCTTTCAATTGGGAGTAACTATTTTAGGGCCACAAAGACGTAACGGAAGCAGAAGTACCAACGTTTGTCCACTACGACCATTCATAAAAATCTGCTTCACTTTCCGGTACTTCCTGGGGGTTTGCAACACACGCTACCATCGCTCCATTAAATTGCCTGTTTTTCTTTTAAGTTTGGCCTATAGTGGAGCTAGTGGCTAACATCTGTCCATAGACCGGCTGGTTTTAAACGTTACTCACTTCTCCGCCGAAGAATCCTTGGAGGCTTCATTGTGGCTGTCCCCCTTGGAGCAAAAGCTTCTCACGGCGTGCCTTCTGGTAAAGCTCTGCGGGGCTAACGCTCTCACTCTGCCCGGCAGTCTCCCATCCAGACGGCCGGTGCTGAAGCAGGCTGCAGGTGTCGCTTTAACACCGGCTCTACCTGGCAACGGACGCTTCAGCTGGGTTTGAAATAACTCCTTGAGAACTACCGTTGACCGAAAATGTAACATTTCAATCCCGTCGAGAAGAATATCTGGAGGATATAATTACTGTAACACCGATAGAAAATGTCTGGAGGACAGGAGGCGCAGTTCCTAACGATAGTGTCGGCTTTAACGGCCGAGTAACGGTTTTCCCTGTGACTCAACAATAGTAACCAACCTACCGTTCACGTAACGGGCGTTTTGATTGGAGCATTAAAACACAAAGCTGCACCTGATTGGCCAAGAGAGCTGTCAATCATCAGAAGTCTCCTTTACTGTTTCGGTTTTTACTGTATTTTAATTATATCCAACAATTTGTGAACATATATACATATTAAAAACGTAAGTTTATAATGTTATAACTGTATACAATACTTCTATAAAGTATAATTCTTTCTATCTATAACAGTTAAAGTAAGATATAGTAACCAAAGCAATCCTATGTTAGATTAGAGAGGAAACCTTACGAGAAACACTAATATGTGTAGACCATTGCAATAAAATATCCCTTAAAGTTGAATAACATAAGATTTTAGAAAATAAAGTGTGCAGTATCTTATTCTTATCTTTATTGTACGTTCTTCTTTAACAGTTATATATATATAGGCTATATAAATATATATATATATATAAAAGTGGCTTATGGTACAGTGTGTGCCCCTTAATCAGCAACCTTATTATTGACTTATGATGATTTCCTCAATATCCTGCTGTCTAAATGTAAATATTTTAGTGAAATAAGGTGATTTAAAGTCAGTATAAATAACCGCTGAGTAGCACACATAATATCATACATTTTAGTTCATTCAAATGTCTGGTCTTGGTCTGACACCATGTGAGTTATTTTGGTATTGCACATATTTGTAGTAAAATAGTTGTAGCACCATCTCCTGGTTGGATATATTTTTAGATTAGCAACTGGAAAAGATTGATGAACCAATTATAGATTACCAAAATAGTCTCAGGCCCCTAAAATAACAGGAAGTGTTACATTAATAAAGCTTCCCCTTTTCCTGTTACTGTAGATGCATGTAGCTTTGTTTTTTCTCAACCATGTGAAGAAAAGTGTATTATAAATTATAAATATATAAATTAAACACACATTTTCTTTTAAAAGCATTTCCTAAACAGTCTAGCTTTCATCAAATCACGTTACCAATACAGCTTCTAACCTGAAATCTTTAAAATGTCATAGTCCTATAAACTCTGAATCAGATCTTAATGTTTGTTTTTGCATTTTTTTACCAGCGTGGGTGGGTCGACATTGACACCACGTATTAAATATTGACCTACATTAGAGATTACTCACTGGAAAGTATTTTGTACGTTTACTTTTCTGTGGTTCCCAACTTTTATCTGACTTTATCTGAATCTCTGTAAACTCCACCCACACGGAGCTCCAAGAAAGATTCATGCTGAGAAATAATGTTTTGCTTGGAACATGAATTTCGAAAAAAATGCACTGCCGGAAACTCACATTTCTATAATAATTTAAGGGGGTTTCCAACTACATTTTCTTGTAGATTTTTGTTTTTTTACAAGAGTTCACATTGTAACTATTTTTCTTTTATCCTAATTTTATAATAGTGTTAAAAGAGGCACAGATGCATTGGTTAGTGATCGTCATATCCGCGTGTGTTGGGGCGTGAGTGTTCCGTAGTGATGTCATTATGTTCCGGAAGTAAACAAAGGAGTCCAATGGAGGCGTTTCAGGAAGG